AAAAAAAAAAAAAATTAAACTGCAATCTCAGTTCCTCTTTCTGCCCATCACCTACCCAGCGCTGGCCCTGCTGCCATACCATCTGTTGTCAGACACAGCAAGCTAGCTCAGGGTCTCTGCACGTGCCGGTCTCACCTCAGGTCCTTTGCACAAACCCTGTGCCCTCCCCCTAGATTTCCCATGTCTTCATTCAGTTCTTCAAGTGCCTCCTTCTTCAGGCTCCAGACCTAAAGCAACGCCTTCTACATTCTCCTTCACATTATCCTGTTTATTCACTGCAGCGACTTCCTAAAAATGTTCCCCCAAATCCTGTCTATTTATGGGCTTACATGCTCCCTGGCTGCCTCCCCCATCAGACTGTGAGCTCTGAGAGACTGGAGAATCCATCTGGCTTGTTTGCCTCTGCTTCTCCCACCCCTCTGAGAGGACCTGCCATATTGAAAGTACTTAACTAAGGACTCTGTGAAGTAGATGAATGAATGTATCACAGCATCTTGGGGCTTGGGAGACCTTTAGGGACCCCTGGGTTGAAGCCTAAGTGTTCTCCAAGCCCCTTGCCCAGCAGGGGAAGTTATGACAGTGGTACAAATGAAACAGGCTGGTATGATGGACATCAGTGGAGGGGCGGAGTGCAAGTGGGGGAAGGCAGTCAGGGAAAGCTTCCTAGAGGAGGTGGCATACAGCTGAGATGTACAGGTGAGCAGGAGCCAGTCATATACACAGACACAGGGAGGACATTCCAGGCAGAGGGAATGGTGCTTGCAAAAGTCCTGGAGCTTGGTTGTTTGGAAAACAGAACAATAAAAGCCAGCATATAGATGGAGTGGGGTTAGTGAGAGAGAGACAGAAAGAGAAAGAAAGATTGTCAGAAGCTGAAGCCCCAGGCTCAGCAGGGGCCAATTTGGGATTCTATTCCAATTGCACCAGGGAGCCATAGGAAGGTGTATTCATGGCGGAACTGGTGTTTGGTTTGTTTGTTTGTTTGTTTTGAGATGGAGTGTTGCTTTGTCACTCAGGCTGGAGTGCAATGGCATAGTCTAGGCTCACTGCAATCTCCACTTCCCAGGTTCAAGCAATTCTCGTGCCTCAGCCTCCTGAGTATCTGGGATTATAGGCATCTGCCACCACACCCAGCTAATTTTTGTATTTTTAGTAGAGCTGGGGTTTCACCATGTTGGCCAGGCTGGTCTCAAACCCCTGACCTCATTCATGATCCGCCCATCTCAGCCTCCCAAAGTGCTGGGATTACAGGCATGAGCCACCACACCCGGCCTGGGCTGGTGGTTTTAAATGTTGCCTGTGGCTACTTGGTGCAGAAGGGGCTTTCGGGGGCACTGGTGGAGATGGAAAGAAGGAGGAAGTGGGGTCGAGGTGGGGAACAGTGTCAAGGTGGGAGGGACAAGAATGATAGCCCAGGGGTGGTGGAAAGAGAAGTGGATATTTGGTCTGCACAGTGGCTCATACCTGTAATCCGAGCGCTTTGGGAGGCTGAGCCAGGAGGACTGCTTGAGGCCAGGAATTTGAGACCAGCCTGGGCAACATAGCAAAACCCTGCCTCCACAAAAAGTTAAAAAATTAGCCAGGCATGGTGGCACACATCTGTAGTCAGCTACTCTGGGGGCCGAGGTGGGAGGACCAGGAGGTGGAGGCTGCAGGGAGCCATGACTGCACCACTGCACTCCAGCCTGGATGACAAAGCAAGACCCTGTCAAAAAGAAACATTTGTAGAGATGGGGTCTCACTACATTGCCCAGGTTGGTCTCAAACTCCTGGCCCCAAACAATCCTCCTGCCTCAGCCTCCCAAAGTACTGGGATTATAGGTGTGAGCTATCACACCTGACCCCACATTTTTGTAAAGATAGTATTTCGTAACCTGTGAATATCAGATGAAATTCAAAGGTCCATATTTATAAATAAAGCTATATTAGAACCCAGGCACACTCACTGGTTGACATGTAACCTCTGGCATCCCCCTGCAACAGCAGAGCTAAGTCATTGAGGCAGATGGTACGGCCTGCAAAGCTGAAATATCTGCTCTCTGACCCTTTGTAAAAGAAGTTTGCCAGGCCAGGTGCAGTGGCTCATGCCTGTAATCCCAGCACTCTGGGAAGCCGTGGTGGGTGGATCACCTGCAGTCAGGAGTTCGAGACCTGCCTGGTCAACATGGTGAAACCCTGTCTCTACTAAAAATACAAAATTAGCCAGACATGGTGGCACATGCCTGTAATCCCAGCTACTCGGGAGGCTGAGGCAGGAGAATTGCTTGAGCCCGGGAGGTGAGGTTGCGATGAGCCCAGATCGTGCCATTGCACTCCAGCCTGGGCAACGAGAGCCAAACTCCATCTAAAAAAAAAAGAAGAAGTTTGCCAACCCCTGAGGGAGACAGTGAGACGATGAAGCCATTTACCGAGATGAGAAGGATGGGGAATGGGATCAGATTTGGGGGCTCACATGGGCACGTTTCTCAGCCCCGGGGCATCTGGGTGGAACCCTGGCTCCAGTGTCTGGGGCAGATGTGGTGCTTTGGTGGGCGAACTGCCCCAGGCCTCATGGGCTCTCATTTTCAGCCCTCCCCAAAGCCAGTCCTGCTTCACCAATCAAAGGAAAGGAAGCTGTCAGCAGAGATGAACAGAATAACCACTGAGGAAGCCACTTCCTCCTGCCCCTCAAAAGCCCCTCTGGGAGAGGCCCGTCAGAAACTCTGGAGGAACCTCAAAATGCTCCCCGAGAGAGGCCAGAGGGTCCGGCAGCAGCTGAAAACCCACCTCGCCACTGTGAACTTGTCGTCACTCTTGGATGTCCGGAGATCCACGGTGACCTCAGGCCCTGGGACCAGAAAAGGCAGCCAAGAACCGTCAGGGGACACCACCTTAAGGGACAGAGTCTACCCGGACCCCTTTGTGGCCACGTCCCTTGAAAACCCCTCAGAGCCTCAGGCGCCAAAAGACAGAAAGATCCCCACCAGGAAGGCCGAGAGGTCGGCCAGCTGCAATGAGGTGACTTCAGGGCGCAGGAGCTGGCACCAAACGGTAGTGAGAGCTGTATCCTCCCAGGACTCCAAGCCAGAGTGCCAGGGCTTGGCAGAGCCTGAGAATGACCAGCTCCCAGAGGAGTACCGACAACCGCCACCCTTTGCCCCTGGGTACTGCTAGAGAACGGGTCCACCCCAGCTCTGGGACTCTTGGTGCCAGGGGTTGCCACACTCCTGGATGTCCTAACAGTTCTTCCATGGCCCCAGACCACGGCATTCGGGAATCTTCGGGAACCCGGGAAATGGAATAAAGACGTTTTGGGAGTCTGTTCCTACAGTCACCTGTGGGGTGAGCTGGTTATTTTAGCAATAATCATCTGAGTAATCCTGATGGTTTGGGGTACCTCCTGTCCATCAGCCCCTGCACCGGACCCACTGTATCCATTATTTGATAACCCACAGCAAGCCCCTTAGGTAGGGTTATCCTCCACGTTTTGAAGAAGAGACTGAGGTTCAGAGAGGAGGAGAGGCGTGAGCAAGGCTACAGAGCTATGGGTGTCAGCACCAGGAATTGAAGCCAGGTGAATCACCGAGCCGTCTTCCCACGTCATCTGTTTGTTCTGTTGTCTAAAAGCACACTGCATGCTGGGCGAGGCGGTGCACGCCTGTAATCCCAGCACTTTGAGGGGTCGAGGTAGATGGATCACTTGAGGCCAGGAGTTCGAGACCGGCCTGACCAACATGGTGAAATCCCGTCTCTACTAAAAATAAAAAATTAGCCTGGTGTGGTGGCGGGCACCTGTAATCCCAGCTACTCGGGAGGCTGAGGCAGGAGAATCGCTTGAACCTGGGAGGCTGAGGTTGCAGTGAGCCCAGATCATGCCACTGCACTCCAGCCTGGGCGACAGAGCAAGTCTCTGGGAAAAAAAAAAAAAAAAAAAGGCAGGGGATGGAGGAGGCATCACAGGGCTGTGTCTGGAAGAGGGTTCTGGAGAGAGTCCTTGGTTGTGGGGCTGTGTGACCTTTGGCAAGTCTAGACGTCTCTGGATGGACTTTTTTTTTTTCTTTTTTTCTTTGTTTTTGAGATGAAGTCTCACTCTTTCGCCCAGGCTGGCGTGCAGTGTCACAATCTCAACTCACTGCAACCTCCATCTCCCCATTCAATTGATCCTCCTGCCTCTGCCTCACAAGTAGCTGGGATTACAGGTGCGCACCACCATGCCTGGCTAATTTTTGTATTTTCAGTAAAGGCTGGGTTTCACCATGTTGGCCAGGCTAGTCTCGAACTTCTGACCTCGGGTAATCCACCCACCTCGGCCTCCAAAAGTGCTGGGATTATAGGCATGAGCCACTGCGCCTGGCCTATGTATTTATTTATTTATTTAGAGACAGAGTCTCGCTCTACTGCCCAGGCTGGAGTGCAGTGGCACGATCTCCAATCACTACCACCTCCCTCTCCTGGGCTCAAGCAATCCTCCCTCCTGAGCCTCCCAAGTAGCTGGGACTACAGGCATGCACTACAGCACCCAGCTTATTTTTGTATTTTTGGTAGAGATGGGGTTTCGCCATGTTGCCCAGCCTGGTCTTGAATTCCCGGGCTCAGGTGATCTGCCCGCCTCGGCCTCCCACAGTGCTGGGATTGCAGGCTTTAGCCACCACACCCTGCCCAGTAGCTGCTTAATTAATTAGGGGTTTAGGATGGGAACAAGGACTCTAAATGTGACATACCGTACAGTGGAGGTGTCTGGGAAGGTCCCTAGGGGCTGGTCTTGGTTGCAGGAGTGAGCATTCCTTGGACCGACTGGGGCATAGATGGGAGCCCTCAGACAACCCCAGGTGGAGGGGGCGTGGGGTTCCCCAAATGTACAAGGTGGGATCCGGTATGAGGGGCACCTGGCTTCAAGCCCGCCCCTGCAAATGACTTGTGGTGTGGACTTAGGCAAGTCTGTCTCCTCCCTCCAAATGAGGGCATGATCCTCAGCCAACCCTGCGGGGTTGTTATAGGGGGTCAGTGTCACGGCAGGGGGCAGACACATCATAAACTGTAAAGTGCAGTGCCCACCTCAGTGAATGACATTCCCACCCCTCCCCATCAGAGGCCTCCTCTTGGCAGCTCTAGTGAATCAGCCAGGAGTAAGTTTCAGTCCCTTTGATGACTCGGATTGAGGCATAAGAAGCAGCTTGAGCCGGGTGCGGTGGCTCACACCTGTAATCCCAGCCCCTTGGGAGGCCGAGGCGAGCAGCTCACCTGAGGTTGGGAGTTTGAGACCAGCCTGGCCAACATGTCGAAACCCCATCTCTACTAAAAATACGAAAGTTAGGCAGGCCTGGTGGCAGGTGCCTGTAATCCCAGCTATGGGGGAGACTGAGGCAGGAGAGTCGCTTGAACCCGGGAGGTAGAGGTTCAAGTGAGCTGAGATCACGACACTGCACTCCAGCCTGGGTGACAGAGTGAGACTCTCTCAAAAAAGTAAAATAAAATAAGCAACTTGAGCAGTCAAGGCTGAGGTTTGGCCTTCGGAGTGGGAGCCCTAGGGTAGGACAGCACGGGCCCAACCTCCCCACCTCATCTCCGCCACGGACACCCACAACCAACAAGGCATTTCCAGCCTTCACAGTGAAGACGATCTAGGAGTCACCCCTTCCTTGTACAAACAGGGAGATCATGGCCCAGAGAGGGTGTGGTCACACCCAGGGTCACACAGCAAAGTCAAAGATAAGATTCTAGGCTGCCTCCCGCCCATCTTCCAGTTTCAAGGTGGGAAAATGCGTCCTCCAAGCAGGCACGATTTGGTGATTTGTGTTTATTCCCAGAAACCAGAGTCCACAGAGGGTGAGGGGTCACCTGCCCTCCTGTAGCTGGCTCCTCTGTGGCACCATCAGATTCGGATGTGGAAGGTGCTGTGCACGGAGAGAAAAGGACTCAGTGCCTTCGCGGAGTGGACAGTCCCTCTTCCTCCTCCCCATCAACATGCTCAGGGGAAGTCGCTGGGACAGGCAGGAAGGATGCCATGTGGCATCCCTCAAACACCCTCAAACACCCCTAGGCAGGGGGATCCCCAGAGGGGTTGAGAGCACATGCCTTTGATTTTTTTATTTTATTTTACTTTTTTTGAGGTGGAGTCTCGCTCTGTCACCCAGGCTAGAGTGCAGTGGTGTGATTTCAGCTCACTGCAACCTCCGCCTCCTGGGTTCAAGCAATTCTCATGCCTCAGCCTCCAGAGTAGCTGGGAGTACAGGCACCCACCGTCACACCCAGTTAAAATTTATATTTTCAGTAGAGACGGGGTTTTACCATGTTGGCGAGGCTGGCCTTGAATTCCTGACCTCAGGTGATCCACCTACCTCAGCCTCCCAAAGTGCTGGAATTACAGGCATGAGCCACCATGCCCGGCCAAGTTTTTTTTTAATTTTTAAAATGTATTTATTTATTTTTGAGACAGGGTCTCACTCTGTAACCCAGGCTGGAGTGCATGTCACAATCAGAGCTCACTGCGCCCTTGACCTCCTGGGCTCAAGCAATCCTCCACCTCAGCCTCCCAAGTAGCTGGAACTACAGGCGTACACCACCGTGCCTGGCTGTTTTTTTATTTTTATTATTTGGTAGATATGGGCTCTCCTTATGTTGCCCAGGTTTGTCTCAATCTCCTGAGTTCAAGAGGTCCTCCCTGCTTAGCCTCCCAAAGTGCTGGGATTAAAGGCATGAAACATCACACCTGGTTGGAATATTATTATTCTTTGATTTTTTTCTAACCTTTTGCAAATATAAAAGCCATTCTTAGCTCACAGGAGGTACAAGAGCAGGCTTTGGGGCAGATTAGCCTATTGACCACACTTTGCCCTGCTGTGGGGGTTGATTTTCCCCCAAGGCTGCCAAGTACAGTTGCACAGTCTTTTCACTGCAAATTGTTCAGGCAGTAAGGGCTGAAGTCCAGCCACATTCTACTTGCCAAAAGAGGTGCACCCAGGCCGCGCACAGTGGCCCACACCTGTATTCCCAGCACTTTGGGAGGCCGAGGCGGCTGGATCATCTGAGGTCAGGAGTTTGAGACCAGCCTGGCCAATATGGTGAAACCCCATCTCTACTGAAAATACAAAAATTAGCTGAGCATGGTGGCACGTGCCTGTAATCCCAGCTACTCGGGAGACTGAGGCAGAGAATTGCTTGAACCCGGGAGGTGGAGGTTGCAGTGAGCTGAGATTGCACTCCAGCCTGGTGACAAGAGTGAGACACCGTTTAAAAAAAAAAAGGTGCATCCACCCGCAACAGGTGCCTGGGGGTCCCAAATTCTCCCCATTTTACAGATGCAGGGACTGAGACCAGGGAAATTGAGAAAGTTCCCGAGTCGCAAAAGAATGAATAGAGGAATCTTCAGAAACAGTCTGTGAACTGTCTCCGTCAGAGGCCCGTCACATGTGCACATGGATTGTGGGTGTGGCGAAGAGCATCACCTGAGGAAGTCTGGTGCCCGGAGGATCATGTTCTGGAAGTCTTCCAGGGACAGCCGCCCATCATGGTCCCCATCAGCCTCATCCAGCACCTTCTCGCACACCAGGCTCACCTCCTCAGCGCTCAGCTCCCCCCGAGTCAGTTTGGTCACGGTCTGCTCCAGGTCCCATGCACAAATGTAGTCGTCATTGTTAAAATCTGCAAAGCAAGACAGACAGGGAGTGACAGCAGGTGGCAGGCAGGCTGGGCCAGCTGTGGGCATATACTGTGCCCATGTTACAGAAGGGGAAACCAAGGTTGGGTGGGTGACTCACGCCTGTAATCCCAGCACTTTGGGAGGCTGAGGCAGGTGGATCACCTGAGGTCAGGAGTTTGAGACCAGCCTGGCCAACATAGTGAAACCCCATCTCTACTAAAAATACAAAAATTAGCCAGGCGTGGTGGCAGGTGCCTGTAATCCCAGCTACTTGGGAGACTGAAGCAGGAGAATTGCTTGAACCCGGGAGACGGAGGTTGCAGTGAGCTGAGATCGTGTCACTGCACTCTAGCCTGGGTGACAGAGCAAGACATCTCAAATAGACAAAAACACAAGGTGCCAGGCACTAAGATAACTGCTTTTCTTTCATTCAGTCATTCAACAAATGTTTACCGAGCCAGGCATATAAGACAGATAGTGAGCAAAACAGATACTGTCAGTACCTCTGGGGTCAATAAGAAGTGAACAGGTCAGTGAACAAGAAATTAAGCAGCATTGCCTGGTGCTGGAAGAGAAATAGGATGGTGGGATTGGTGGGGTGAATGGGGGGAGGCCTACTTTCAACCTAGACTTCAAAGATAAGGAGGAGCCGGGGAGGTGGGGGCAGTGGCTCATGCCGTAATCCCAGCACTTTG